GTCCTAAGTAATCCGCCTTTGGAAATACAATTAATGTAATCTATCACATCGACAGGCTAAAAAAGAAAAACTACATGATTGTATTATAGATGCAGAAAAAGCATTTGATAAAAGCCAAACCTGTTCAATACAAAAACTCTCAGTAAACTAGGAATAGAGAGGAATTTCCTCAAATTGACTGACAACTGAAGTGGAAGACTGAGCCACTTACCTGTGGAATCTGATACTATCTCTGGGTTGACAGTATCAGCACTGAGTTGAATTCTTGGTCACCCTATTGGTGTCTGAAAATTGTTTGTTTGCTACACATGCACAAGCACGTGCATGCACACATGCATTCATGTACCAGGAACCTAATTTAATGACCAAGTATTATTTATTCATAGCATAAAAGGATGGTCAACATTTGCAAATCAATCAATGTGATAAACATTAACAAAATGAAAGGTAAAAAGGTCGTATCATCATTTCAATAGATGAAGGAAAAGCATTTGACATAACTTACCACCCATTCATGATAAAAAAAAAAACAAAAACCTCTCAACAAGTGGGTCTAGAGGAAAGGTACTTCAAAATAATAAAGGCTATATATGACAGGTGATATTATACACAATGGTGAAAAACTGAAAACTTTTCCTCAAAGATCAGGAACAAGACACAGATGTCCATTCTAGCTACTCGTATTCAACATAGTACTGGAAGTCCTAGCCAGAGCAATTCGGTAAGAAAGAGAAATAAAAGGTATTCAGTATCGAAAGGGAAAAGTAAAATTGTCTTTATTTGCAAAGACTAGAATATTATATATACAAAATCCTAAAGACTCCACCAAAAACTGTTATAATAAACAAATACAGTAAAGTTGGAGAATACAAAAACAATACAGAAAAATCAGTTATATATATATATACATTAACAATGAACTATCTGAAAAATTAAGAAAAAAATCCCATTTGTAATTACATCAAAAAGAATAAAATATCTAGGGATAAATTTAACCAAGGAGGTGAATGATCTATTCTCTAAAAACTATGACACTGATGAAAGAAACTGAAGAAGATACAAATAAATGAAAAGACATTCCATACTCATGAATTGGAAAAGTTAATGTTGTTAAAATGTCCATGCTACTCAAAGCAATCTACAGATTCAATGCGACCTTTATCAAAATTCTTATGCAACTTTTCACAGAAACAGAAAAAACAATCCTAAAATTTTTATGGAACCAAAAAAGACCCCAAATAGCCAAAGCAATTTGAGAAAGAACAAAGCTAGAGGTAGCACAATTCCTTATTTCAAATTATATTACAAAGCTATAGTAATCAAAACCACAGCACTGGCATAAACATATACACATAGGTCAATGGAACAGGATAGAGCCCAGAAATAAATCCATGTCTTTTTGGTCAATTAAATTACAGCAAAAGAGCCTAGCCTATACAACGGGGAAAGTACAGTTGCTTCAATAAATGATATTGGAGAAACTGGACAGTCACATGAAAAAGAATAAAAGTGGACCCCTATCTTATACCAGACACAAAAGTCAACTCAAAATAATTGAATGTAAGCTCTGAAACTGTAAAACCACCTAGAATAAAATTTAGGGGATAAGCTCCTTGACATTGATCTTGGCAATAATCTTTTTGATTTGACACCAAAACCAAAGGCAAAAAAAAGCAAAAATAAAAAAGTGGATGACAACAAACTAAAAGCTTCTATACAGCAAAAAGCTTCTATACCACCAACAAAATGAAAAAGCAACCTACGGAATGGAAGAAAATATTTGCAAATCATATCTGATAAAGAGTTAATATCCAAAATTTATAAAGAACTCATACAACAATAGAAAAAAAATGATTAAAAAATGGGCAAAGTAACTGAAGAGACATTTCTCCAAAGAAGACATGCAAATACTTGACAGGTACATAAAAGGTACTGAACATCACTAATTACCAGGGAAATACAGATAAAAACTATGACGAAATATCACCTCATACCTATTAGAATGACTACCATCAAAAAGACAAGAAATAACAAATGTTGGTGAGAATGTAGACAAAAATAAACCCTTGTGCATAGTTGCTGGGAATGTAAAACGGTACAGCCACTATGAAAAACAGTATGAAGGTCACTCAGAAAAGTAAAACCAGAACAACCATATGATCCAAAAATCCCACTTCTGGATACATATCCAAAGGAAATGAAAACAGGATATCAAAAAGATACCTGCACTCACAAGTTTATTGCAGCATTATTCACAATAGTCAAGATATGGAAACAACCTAAGTGTTTATCAGTAGATGAATGGATAAAGACACACACACACACACACACACACACACACAGAATGGAATATTATTAAGCCACGGGAAAGAGGAAATTCTCTCATTTGTGATAACATGTATGGACATTGAGGGCATTACACTAAGTGAAATAAGTCAGACAGAGAAACACAAATACTGTATGGTATCACTTTATGTGTAATCTAAAAGAGCTAAATTCACAGAAATAGAGACTAGAATGATGGTTATCAGGGACTGGAGGTGGGAAGGAATGGGGAAATGTTAGTCAAAGAGTACAAACTTCCATTTTTAAGATGAATAAGTTCTGGGGATCTAATGTACAGCATGGTGATTATAGTTACTAACACTGTTATTATATACTTGAAAGTCACTAAGAGAGAACTCAAATGTTATTACCACAAAAAAGAAGTGGTAATTATATGATGTGATGGAGATATTAGCTAATCTATGGTAGTAGTCATTTTGCAATATAAAGGTGTATCAAATTGTACATCTTAAACTTACATAATGTTATATGTCAATTATATTTCAATGAAGCTGGAAAAAAATAAAATGTAAAAAAAGTGATATTTTTCTCGTTTCTACATGAAACGTAAAAGAACTGAATATACAGTCTTATTTTGTAATATTTTTAATTTTCGAAAACTCTAAATTTTATCTAAATTATTTTAGATATATATTTTATGTATTTTATGTACATATAAACCTTTTTATTTACATGTAAATATAAATTTTAGGTTTTTAAAAAGAATTTTACATTTTATTTAAAAATAAAAATTTATATTTTCTTATAGTTAAGAATGGCTTTGCAAAGGAGAATTAAAATATTCACTTTCTCATCCCACAGCTGTTTTTTTGGGAAAAGATGAAACCAATATGTATTAGAGATTTCTCTGGCTCATGAGAGGGAAATATCTACTCCAGAGAAAGTGGGCTAAATTATAAATGAAAAGCATATATGAGAAAAGTTATTTTCCCTTGGCTTTACAGATGTTTATAAATTACTTTATTGTGCCTTATTCAATAGAATGTTTTCAAATACTATTATAGTGCAATTTAATTGCAGTATCAATTTGAGACCATTCAGTCTAAAAAAGGAATTAAACAATTCAAACGTAGATGTGATGAATTAATATTTTCTCACTAGAACTGTACTTCTGTCTTAAAATGGAAACTCTAGATATGGCTGAACTAGCTTGTATTCATCTGGTATCAACCCCAACTAAGGATAAGAGTTCTTTTAGGTGAACTTAGCAATATACACATGTGGTAAAGAAAGACAAAGTGTTGACTAATTATTTTCAATCTCATGGTTTTTCCTAGAACTGTGCTGATGCTTGCATTTCACAGTGCAGAAGCAACAGTGGTAATGCTGCTGTGCCTAGCACAAATCAAAGGCAATAATTTTATTCTTTACCACTACATACTCCCAGTAAAAGCACTGCCAGTTTTATATAAAAATGTGTTTTACAAAACAGTATAAAATATTAGTTTTATTAAATTTTCACCTTCAGAATACATTTTATTTAAAAAAATTATGTGCAGTAAAAAGAAAAGCATACATAAAGCATTTCTGGTACATACATAACAAAAAATGCTGGTTGTCTAGAAGCAAAGCACTTGCATAGCAGTTTGAGCTGCGAGATCAACTAGCCACTTTTTTTCCACTTTTTTTTTCATGGAAACTTACTAGAAAGACTGGTCAACAAATAATGGTTATTCAGACATGCGTATTTAGTACATATTTTCTCAAAAATTAGTGAAGTGACGTAGTTCAAGTACAATAACTGACAGTATTTGTACCCAATGATAAATTTGAGTTTTTAAGCAGAAATTAGAATTTTGGAAAATTAATTTTTGTCAACATGAGCCTGACAGCTTCCCAGTACTTAAAGACATTCCTGATGAGATTGGTGGTGATAGGAACGAATGTAAGTTTTGATACTGTAAAATGAAAATGTCAGTGTTTGGAAGATCTGTATAACAATGAACCAGTATTTTCCAAATGAACCGTGCACATAGCTATAAGTCCTGTGTGGACAAAAGATCTATTAAAAGTGCAAGACACATCAGGAAGTTTTAATCTATCAGTATGAAAAGCTCATTGATATAATTTCAGATTCCACATCACAACTAAACTTCAAAAAAACCACAATTTTCAAATTCTGGTGAGGTATGCAAGGAGAATATCCATAATCAACTGAGATGGCAATCATAATATTCTTTTCTTCTGACTACATATCTGTATGAGGCTGGATTTTCTTCATAGACTTCAACTAAGACAACATATCACACCAGACTGAATATAGAAACATGTATGAGAACCCAGTGTCTTTTAAGTCAGACAATAAAGAGATCTGCAAAAATGTAAAATGATTCCACTCTTGTTAAACAAATTTTTTGCTTGGAAAAGGTCATTGTTTTTCATAAAAATATGCTACTTGTGTTGATATGTAATAAATTTATTGTTATTTTTAAATGAAGTAAAATATTTTTAAAACTTTGTTTTAATTTCAAATATGATAAATATTGACAGATATAACTCAAATATTAAAAAAGTTAAGTGGGATCTTCAATAATGTTTGAGAATATAAAGTGAGTACAGACAAAAACATTTAAAAACTGCATTTCCAACATACTGAAGTATTCTAAGAAAAGAAAAAACAAAGTTGGATGATAGGGTAAATGCATATCACTTACAACAAAAAGGCCTCATTCACAGCATCAAAGAACTCAGGCCAGAGCATTTCCTGAGGTTCATGTCCATGGTAGGTGAGCAGAGCCTCTACCAGTGGTTCAAAATCTGGCAGAGTGACAAGTGGAACACAAACTCGTGATAGGGACCTTACTCGTTCAGGAGCCATTCTATAGAATAAATAAAGTAAGAAATAATTACCCAAATCGTAGAGCCACATGTAATTAAAGACATATCAAATCTTCATTTTATACGAAAAGGTTGATGACAGGTCATTTGTTCTGCCCCTCACATAAGAGGGCTACTCTAATGCCATCTATGAACGTTCTTTTCTTACTCAATTCTCTAGAAAGAAACTGTTTGGCTGCAGTTCCCATTTTAACTTCACTCGTTGTCAGGACTTTGGCATAACTATTGGCACCTCTAACTTGTGTGTTATGTACCACTGAGTTAGCTCTGACTCCTGGCAAATCCTATGAATGAGTTATGTCCACAATGTCCTGTCCTCAAAATCTATGCTCACCCTCTGTATACTCATGCCTTCTTTTATGGAGTCAATCCATCATATATTTGGTCTTCCTCTCTTCCTGCTGCCTTCTATTTTTCCCAGCATTACCATCTTTCCTAAATAACCCTGCCCTTTCATGATATACCCAAAGAAAGACAGCTTCAGTTTTGTCATTTTTGCCTCCAGCAATGTTTCAGGCTTAATTTGCTCTAGGACCCATGTATTAGTCTCCAACCAACCACACTCAAAACAGAACTCTTGAATTTCTTCCCCAAATGTTCTCTTCCCTCAGTGCTCTCTATCTCATTTGATCAAGCCAAAACCCTTGAAGTCCATTGTTGATTGCTCCCTTTCTCTTACAGCCCTCATATGATCCAGAAGGAAATACTGTCAATTCATCTGACCACCTCTCAACACTTCTATTACTACCCCCTAATTCACCATCATCTCCAGTATGGGTTACTGTAGGAACCTCCTAACTTTCTCCCTGTTCCTGACTTCACCCCCATTGTTTATTATCAGAACAGTTCCAGCAACTCTAAAAAATTTAGATCACCGCACTTGTCTGCTCAAAGCTTAGCAATGTCTTCCCACCTCACACAGAGATCAAGCAAAGTCTTCTACTAAACACCAAGGCCTTTCGTGGTGGGACCCCCTTTTTTTTCTCTGGCTTCATTTCCTTCCACTCTTACCTTGCTTGTTTAATTCCAGCCTTACAGGGTTCCAACTATACCAGATAAGGTCCTGCACAGCCAGTTCCTTCATTTCATATAGCTCTCAGTTCCAATGCTTCCCTGACCATCCCATGTAAATGCACTAATATGGCAGCAATCAGCATCTGTGGCAATTTACATTTATTTAAATGAAATAAGATTTAAAATTCCATTCCTCAGTTGGACTAGTCATAAATCAAGTGCTCAACAGTTACATGAGGTTAGTGGCTTACAGTACTGGATAGTGCAAATTTACAGGACTTGTCTTTTATTGCAGAAAGCTCCACTGGACAGTAGAGTTAAACATATCAAGTGCCCTCCCACCCTACTGTGTACTTCCTATCTTTTCTTCAGAGTATTACATTTACTTGTTTATTGTTCATGGTCTGTTTCATCCTACTAGGATATCAGCTCAATAAGGGCAAGTACTTTTTTCTATTTTGCTCATTGCTCTATTTCTAGCTTGTAGGCACAACTACTTACACATACTACATGCTCAAGAAATAGATGTTAAAAAGTTAACAACTGGAGAGCAATAAAACAATAGTTTGAAATGTATGCTACTAGATCTTTTCTAGGTATTTTCGTATACAATCAAATCTAGATAGTCTTTATGTTTTGTGAAACAAATGGAACCACAACATAGAATATATAGATGTCTCTCATTTTTTTTTACTTGCTGCCTATTATTAAAAAATATGTGATTCAATATGCCTCTATTTATAGACATTTGTTTCTAATTGTTCACGATTACAAACACTGCTGCAGAGGTATCCTTGCACATGCCTTTCTGTGCCCCATGTGTATTAAACTGCATCCCAAAAGACTACCAGTTTACTTTTCCACTCTTGCCAGTGATATTATCATCGGTGTTTTTAATTCTTGCTAATCTGTACAAAAATTATCTCATTGCTTTCATCTGCATCTTCCTGATAACTTTCAAGATTATTTATATTTGTTACCACTTGTATTTCCTCTTCGACAAATGTTTTTAAATTAGTCCTATTCAATAAATATTTTTTGAGCCCTTACTGTATTCAAAGCTGTTTGTAGTTGTTCGTGACACAAAAGCAAACAAAGAAACAAAGCCCAGTAATGGAGAGAATAAAATGCCAGGTGATATCAGGTGCCATGATGAAAAGTAAAGCAACTGTGGGGCTAAAGAGGGCAGAAATTTACTGAGGGGTATATTTGAGCAGAGATCTAAAGGAAGTATATAAGCAAACCATGTAAACATCTGGGTGGAAAAATGTTGCAGGCAGATACAAAGGAAATGCAAAGGTCCTGAGTAACTAGATACAGCAAGGAGGCCAAAGTGGTGAGACCACAGTGAATGTGGGAGGGGAGGAGGAAATCAAGTTTTCGTAGACTACTCTAAGAGCCTGGGATAGTCTTTTTTTTTTCTTCTTCTTCTTTTCCAAGAGCACTTCCGCCCCCATTTTCTGATCTCAGAGGCAACCACTTTTAAGCCTAACTCATTCTTTAGATATTTGATGTTTTTTCTGTGTTAAATGACTCTTATTTGGCTTGTTTGCTCATTTTTCTTTGTACTGATTATTTTAACCCCAAACTCCCACCCTAGTGTGTAATCTTCTTGCAATCTATTCAGACATATCTGACATTCTACCATTTTCATCTTCTTAAAGAAATTTTTCTTAGAACCTTTTAATCTGTTCCAATTGGGACAGTTTGCTTTTTACTCCTTTTGCCTTCTTGGTTAATTTTCTTATGCAGGAAACGGTACATGAGAAGTAAAGTATCTGAGATCTTGCATATCTGAAAATATATTTTACTCTCATGCCTGATTGACACTTTGGCTGAGTATAGAATTATGGTAATTTTCCTACAGAATTGTGTAAGTGTGGTTCTACTATCTTTTAGCTTCCAGTTCTTGAGACGTCCCAGGCTATTATGAATTCTGATCCTTAAATTTGTAAGACCTGTTTTTACATCTTGGAGGTGTTTGGATATCCTCTGAGAAATTTCACAATGATATGTCTTGGTATGGATTTATTTTTATTTAGTGTGCTGGGCACTCACTGGACTTTAAATTAGGAAAGTTCCATTCTTTTCTCTATTCTCTTTTTCTACCAACTCCAATTTTTTGGATATTGAACTTCCTGGACAGTTCTCTTTTCTTGTCATATTTTGGTCTTTTTTGCTCTTTTTGGAATTTGGGATTCTATATTGCTTTCCATGAATGCTCTGTTTAATGTGGCTTGTCTCCAGTACTTGTGGGGTCAGGATGTAGTGCTCATTGGGGTTGCCAATAAACTGCATTCTGAGCATAAGAGCATCCCCCAAATTGCTGGGGACTGATAGCCATTTTGTGCTTGCTTCTCCTCCAAAGTGTCTCCCCTCCTTGTTGGAAACAATCGCATTTGGGGACAGTGGGTAAGGAGGAAGAGTGTATGAAGGCCTAGCCAGCTGGTTGCTATTACTGAAGTAGTCCAACAAATTATCTTGTTGGCTGCCAGGTACCCTCCTGCTCCTTGAATCCACCCCAAAAGTAACTTTTACCTTTTGCAGTAGTCCTCACTAACAAGCTTTTGGGACTGTGCTATTTTCCTTCAAAAATATCCCACTACCTACCATTTTAAGCCTTTCTCATAATTTGTGGGTCATCAAAAGCCCCTCCTCCCTTTATATACAGTATTATATATTTGTTAAAATTCCTTGTCATTTCTAGGAGTTGAAAGTATAACGTGAATGCTAGGCCATTCATGAACATGGTTCATCAGTTGGCTTAGTGTCTTACATTTTCATCTTATTCTCTCCTGACTAGATTATGAGAGTTGCCATTCTTCACAGGTCTTGAACTTCAGTCATCAGGATCTGTCCAAGTTCTCTCTATCAGAGCTACTCAAAGTATTGTCTTCCGAATCAGCAGCATCAGCATCCCTGGGAGTGAGGCCAAGGAATCATCTGTGTATATTTTTCCAGGGGATTCTTACACACACTAGTTTGAGAAACACTGTTCTACATTACCTTAGTAGCAGTCCCCAGAATTCGATATCAATCTCCAGTAATGATCCGAGTATATTATGGGGACACGATAGAACTACATTTAAGGTTTACATTTTATTGATGAATTTCTATAAATTGGTTCAGCTGTATTATTTTTTTGATAATCAACAGTACTATTTTTTTGTTGAACTATACAATAATTTTCTTTAGGGTAAACATTTTGCCTTTCTCTTCAAATTATCACCTTTTTTAAAAATTCACTTCTTGTTCTTTACCACTTTTCTAAATAACAGAGTCTCTTCAACAACACTTATCTTCCACAGTGCTCTAACATCTTTCTCTAACTATCAAAGTGGTTTTAGACCTAAAATTAATGTTTTGAGTCTATCATCAAAGTTCTTAATGAAAAGACATATTGAGCTTGAGTTGTAAACTCAAATTAAAATTTAAAGTTTACAACTTTGGAATATATGAGTTTACTGGGTGGGCTTGGAGAGGGGGAAAGTTGTTGTGTGTGAGATGTAGAATGCTTTTTCAAATATTTATTTTGCACAGACTCTAGCAGAATATTTTGCATAGAGTAAGGGCTCTACGAACATTTGAGAAATTAAAAAATATGACTGAGAGTTATGTGTACTCATAATAAATCGAGAACTCTGAAATAAAGCAAGGAAGTAGGTGGTGATCTTGCCCTCTCGCCTTAATTTATCAATCCTTCTCTCTAAAAAAGTGCAACTTTTCTCTCATTATCTGAAAAGGAGGAAAGTCAGAGACTAGCACTGGTGACTAGGTGGGTGGAAAAGATAACCTTTGCAACAAGGGCACTTATCAAACACTAAAGCTTATAGGCTGCAGATTTTATCTCCTAAGTAGGCTGAAACAGGTCCAAGATAATCTTCCTAAAAAATTCTAAAGTCTTATGTAAACTTAGAGGAGTTCTTGGTATGACCAAAACACAAGCAGGCCAAACGATAATCTTCTGAAAGGCTTCAAAGTGCTCAGGGCCTTCACAACTCCCTCTTTTGGCCTGAAGCTTGCCAGAGCATGAAGATCCAGCTTCAGTTGGAGCTATGCAACACTTTCCAGACTGGATTACACCAAGCATGAGGTCTTGACTGATTGCCAGAGCAGCACTCCCAAATGATTTTTGCATAAGAATTAAACTGCAGAAGGATCAACAGTAACCACAGACTGCTAGAAACATCCTTCCCATGTAGCTGTACTGAAGCCTCCAAACCATCTGTAGCGAACCAAAGAACAAGATAAACTGATGATAGAGAGTCCACAATGTCGTTCCTTCCAGACAGTTTGTAGCAAAGAACAAGAGAGAATTTAAACATTGTCATTGAATTGTTGATTTTACTTGGTGGCAAGTGAAACTCTATTTAAAACACTATGACAAGACCATCTATCAGGCCTTTAAAAATAATGTAAAGAGAAACTAAACAAATTTTCCTATTTTTTTGTTCCTCTGACAATTTATGCATCAAAGTTATAAGATTAATTTCTGTATTTTTACAAGAATTTTGGATGTCGTAGAAATCCAAAATAAAGTTTAATTAAACTTTAAACATTTGAGTGGTAAAAAGTGAAAAAAATATGGATGCCTTCTATTAAAAAAAATAACACAGCATTGTTTATAAGGTAAGTTTGAGACGCTCTTGGCTGCTGGAACATTTATAGTAATACTCATGGAAGGAAAGTAATGATTAAACTCAAGTTTCGTAAATAGTGGGACTATCTGGATTTGAGCACACCAGAAAGTAGTTTGCCACCTGTGCTATATTGATTCAAATTTTTTGACTTTTAAATCTTAAAAATGTACAGATAACCTCAGGTATATAGTAGGAGAAATTTACATATAATTTGATACATATTTTAATTATTATATCTTATTACAGCAACTATTAGCAGCTCCAGCATGTTTGGCAGCTCTTTCAAATGCCATTCCACTACCCAATTTCATGAAATCCATTTTTATGTGAGACAAAGCACACACACTTGGTTAAATTTATAACATACTAGAGAATTGTGGACTTAGAGTTCTGAGTCTCACACAAGCTTTTATAGATCTGGATTATTTTATGGACGAAGAATAGAACTTCCTGGCTTTAGGTCTTAAAAGTAGGACTTTAAAAGCTCATAAAGAGACTCAAAAAGTATGCTGGGCATCGAATTGCTTTTAAAATTCAATTTTTTGATAAGAATAATTGAATTTAACCCAAGAGATTGAATTTCCTTAAAAACTATGTATGGGTTCAACACATTCAGAGAAATCTCCGCAAGAAATTTTTGTGGAATTCTAAAACTATTTCTAAAAAGAAAAAGACTCCGTAGTAAACATCATTCAACAGAGAAAATTAGGAAGGTATCAGATGTGTCAGCATGCAGAGAAGATTCTACTACCACAGGCATCTCATATTCTTGGTAAATTCAGTTACGAATCTTACTAATTACATCATAGGTTTCCTTTGATTAAAAATATCCTAAACTACTAACCAACGTAATTGCCATTTTATCCATGTTGCTACTGCAAGCTGGGGTACAAGCATGGACACCCTTTAGTAGACTTTGTTCTGCACCAGGGAATTTATTCATATTGTTTTGAAAAATAAATATCCTTAATGAAGAAATAGTCATGAGTTTAGGAATGAACATGCCCCCCAAAATGCTATTACCAGTGGGATTGTTTTTTTAATTTCTTTTTTGGATTGCTTGTTGTTAGTATATAGAAACACAACTCATTTTTGAATGTTGATTTTGTATCCTGCAACTTTACTGAATTTGTTTATTAGTTCTGACGGTTTTTCTGTGGAATCTTTCTCGGACTCCCACAATGCATATAATTGATCCACTTGAGGGTATCTCATAAGCTCTTAGAGTTAACTTCATTCTCTTTTCTTTTTATTCTCTTGACTTGATAATTTCAAATGACTCGTGTTTGAGTCAACTGCTTAATCACGTCTACTGTTGAATCATTCTAGTGAATTTTTCAATTCAGTTATTGTATTCTTCAGTTCCAGAATGTTTGGGATACCATATATTTTTTTCAAGTTTAATTTCTTTTATTGTGGTAAAACATGTAATAGTTATCATTTTAACCATTTGTAAGTGGTAATCATTCAGTGGCACTAAATACATTGACGGGCTGTGTACCCATCACCATGATCTATACCGAAAGCTTTTCAACATCCCCAACATAAACTTTGTACCCATTAAACAGTTATTCTATTGCCTCTACATACTGATAATCTCTTTTCTGCTTTTTGTCTCTATGAATTTCCCTATTCTAGATACCTCATATAAGTGGAATCACACAATATTTGTCCTACTAAATCTGGCTTATTTCACTAAGCATGATATTTTCAAAATCTATCCTTGAATATACAAAAATTTTATTCCTTTTCATGGCTGAATAGCATTCAATTGTATTTGTATACCACATATTATTTATCCATCCATCTGTTCATAAGCACTTGGGTTGTTTCTACCTTTTAGCTATTGTGAATAATACTGCTATGAATACTGGTATACAGGTAAGTGTTAGAGTTCCTGCTTTTGAATATACACCTAGGAGTGAAATTTCTGAGTCTCATGTAATTCTGTGGTCAACTTTTTGTTGAACTATCAAAACGTTTTCCACAGTGGCTGTACCATTTTCTATTCCTCCAGCAATGCACAAGAGTTCTACTTTCTCCACGTTTTTGCCAACATTTATTATGTTTCATTTTTCATTTTCTGTAAATGATATTATACTAGTGGGTGTGACGTGGTATCCAATTTTGATTTTTGTTTCCATAATAATTAGTATTGTTGTGCAACTTTTCATTTGCTTATTGTCCAGTTGTATACATTCTTTGGAGAAATATCTAGTCAAGTCTCTTGGCCATTTTTAAATTGAATTTTTTGTTACTGAGTTTTAGGAATTCTTTATATATTCTGGATATTTAAGACGTTATCAGATATATGATTTCCAAATGTTTTCATTCATTCAGGAAGCTGTTTTTCTGCTTTCTTCATGGTATCCCACGATTTATAAAAGTTCTTAATTTTAATGCAGTCCAATTTATCTAGTTTTTGTTGTTGCCTGTGCTTTTCGTGTCATATCCAAAAAATCACTGCAAATCCAATGTCATGAAGATTTTCTAGTGTTTTTGTCTAAGCATTTTATAGTTTAAGGGTTAAATGCAAAGGATTCCTAAAGGCTGAGGGCAAACACCATTTCTGATAGAGCTTTAATTGGCAATAGCTCTACAAAAAAAAAAAATCATAATATGTCTTGGTCCTCAGATTCTTAGTTAAAAATGAAATGGTCAATGAAAACAACTTTGAATTCCTTTCTATAGTGAAAAACTATTTTGTAATGTAATTAATTCTTTTAATTTGTCTTGAGTCTATTTGATTTTAGCATAAATTTTGGAATATTATGTTTCTTAATATAGATCTTATAGGTCATATGTGTCACATCAAATAATCTGTTGCCTTGCAAATATCCTGATTGTGTTTGTGAAGTATACACATACACACTGAGCTGAATGCTTCTTTCTTGTGTGTTATCTACTGTATATGTAGGGCTTTTTTCTCAATGGATGCCTAAGAGATATCACATGATTTACTGCCCTATGAGAGTTGAGAGAATAGTTATTTTTAAAAAGTTTGATAAAACTCACCAATCTTCCATGTATTCCACTAAAATAATCTTTCCACACAGAATATAACCATAACTATGAACATGCATTTCCTAAGAATTATAAAATTTTTCTCTAATGACCAAACTGACACATTTTGAAACTTGAGAAGAGGGATGTTTAATTTGACACCTACTGCCTTTGAGTGTTAAATCCATTAAGATGATTCTCTCTGAGTTCAGACAATAATGATAAAACCATCTGTAAAACAAAATCAGTTACAGGTTAGCTTGCACTGAAAACAGGATTACATCAGTTCTGTTTTTCTTGGTGTGAGTGGTATTTCCGTTGAGATTTCCTACCCTCTCCTACCCGTCCTCTCCTTGTTTTACTTTGTCAAAGTGAAAAAAAAGCAGTGCCATGTTACATTTACTGATAATTTGTATTTTATGTTTACTGTTTGTTATTACAAATTCCTATTTAAGCAAACAAACAACAGACAGACCATTAATTTCCTGAGAATTAAAACCAAACCCATTACAAATAAAACCATGCTAGATTTATTTTTTCTTAATTCAATTTTTTAAAACAGGCTATTCGTGTGTAAAGCTTCCAAAAGGCCAGAATAGTGAAAAAAACATTAAAAGTCTCAGTCTCATAATGCTTTTCAGAAGAGCTATGTCAAGATCACAAATTAAAATTTCTTCGATTTAGCTAAAATTTAAAGCAGAAGTAAAAACAGCTTTAATACTAAGATGTAAATATATATAATAGTATTTACAAGGTTGTTATTTATTGAATATTTTGCTTTACCATAAAATTCCTATCAGGTTAAATAAAAAATTTATCTAACAGTAAAAGGCTGTGTTTGCATAGGTTAAGGAACTCTCATTTCCCAAAAACCTTTGAGTGAATAAATGCGATGTGTTAAGAGACAGAGAGGTTGGCTGATTTAGAATAACCTCTCTTGGTTTCTTTCTACTTTCTCATAATCTTCCATTTCTTCCTTACATGGCCATAAGTTCTCTCAAGGTAAGAAGAGATAAACATAGGAAAGTTAAACATCTCTCCTGGAGAAGTGAAATATTTCCATTTACTCCTTATGCTGATGATACATTAACCAATGAAAACTTCAACACTAATAAATTAAAAATACTCACATTTTTAAGCAAACTAGGATAGTAATCCACAGGTGCATACCCAAGACTTTGAGTAAAAAGGCCAACTTCTTTTATATTAAGTCTGAATGCCGAAAGTATATGAGATAACAACCCCTAAAAAACATAAATAGAAAGAGAAAAAAGTTCTTAAAAGTGGATGCAAGTGCCTATTACGTATAATGCCTAGAATCTGGGTCATAAATGGGATGGTCTCTAGGGAACAAGCAATCTTAATGTGCCCAAATACCTAGTTCATTTTGATTCAAGGTATAAAGAAAAAAATAAGTTTGCATTGAAACCATTACATTAAAAATAAGTCAATTCAAACAAATTAGTAACAGTGAAACAAAAATAATGAACAGTGCTTTAACCATATTAAGAATATGATCTTTACTGGTTTTTGAACAGCAAAATATTTTTATCGTAGTAGATATGATAACTAAGTATATGGCAAGGAACACATACATATCATTAGAGAAAGGAAAAATTATGTGATAAATAGTGCTAGGAAAACTTTGAAAAAAATTAGATTCTCACTTTATGTTATTCATCAAAATATACTTGAATTTAACATAAATTCAAGAAATCAATGTAAAAGTGAAATGAAATAATAAACAAGAAAAAATATAAGTACTTTTCATGTGTCTAAATGGGGAAGAATTTTGTAAACTGCAAATCAAGGAAGCAGATCATTAATTGTTGTAAATAAAAATAAAACCTTTTGTTTTTTTCAGACAATAAGTACAAATTAAAAAGAATAACAAATAATACAAATCATATGTAATCAAATTAATGTGTAAAATACTAAATGACAAACACTAAGCATAAAAAATGAGTATGAACAGATAACTTATAAGAGAAAATACAAATGTCCAAGAAACACATGTATGAATGTACATCCTCATCACCAAAAAGAGTAAATTTAAATGTCAACATACCATTGTTTTACTTAATAAATTAAAAATTTTACAAACATGAATACCTAATGCTAATCTGGGTTCTCCGAAACAGGTACTCTGAGCTACGAAAAGAGAATAAATGACTGTCCATACATCACTGTTGTTATGAACCACACTATAAGGCACCCAAAGAGAGTGTGAGTGGGTATAATAGCCCACACCCAAGCTTGAGCTGTCAGGGCTACATCTATCCAGAATTTTGTAACCTGAACAAAGATGACTTATAGGTTGACACAGGCCTGCCTTATAGGAAGCAATTTGAGAATATATATTAAAGACTTTAAAAGTATCCAGAACTTTTAATATATCTGGTATACATTGAAGGAAATAAATATAAACATGACAATGGAGATTATGCTCAAAGATGTTCATTACAGTGTTATTTCTCATAGTAAGCAATGTCTAACAGCAGGGAATGATTAATTTATAATGCCCTCACACAGTGGCTCATTGTAAGCCATTAAAATGTTTATAAAGAATTTATAACAACATTTTAAGTGGTTATAATGTTAAATGAAGGAAGATGTAAAATTTTTAGAAACAATCTCAATATAAAAATAATCCATATATGGGAATGAAAAATAATCAAAGAAGATATTATCAAATGTTAACAGTGTCTAGGATAGTGCTATTATGAGTGTGTGTGTGTGTGTGTGTGTGTGTGTGTGTATATATATATATATATATATACTCTTCATATTTATATACTTCATACACTTTTCTCCTATTTAATACATTTTCCAGTTTCCTATATGTGTGCGCAATTCTTTTATAATCAGGAAAAAATATTTAGTTTTCGAAAAAGTGTTGTATTTGTAAATATTTTACTTTTAACAGCTTTGACATATAATACATATACCATAAAATTTACCCCTTTAAAATGTACAACACATTGGTTTTTAGTATATTCACAGGGAAACAGTCATTTTACAGTTTTTAAAAAGTCCTGCACTCCATTTTGTGAGAACATATTATGCGATACAATGAATATGTATATGTGCATATAAATGTGTGTGAGTTCATATACAAAAATGTAGAGAGGACAGTCGAACCTAGGGAAGAGGCTCTATAACTTCAGTGAAGGATAGGTTACACAAGACCAGGATAACACATAATCATACCAGTAATGCCCAGAGTAGGTATCACTAATTCATTCTGGTACTCGTTTCAATTTTATCGTAAATGATTTCACATATTTAAAAAGAAATAAAATAAAATGACAAATTTTTTCCACCATCGAACGTAGTAAGCATTAGAAACACCAAGGGAGGAGCCTTCTGGGCCATCCCTCCCTTTCCCCACAGTTTTAGAGGTGTCTTTCCTCATGAGGAAAATTCTACCGCAGATCTAGTATGCACCCTTTCGTGTAGATCCTGCTGTCCCCCAAATGAGATCCTGTGTACTGTTTTTGAATTATAAAAGTTCACAGCAAGTTAACAAAGTAGCTTTGAAATATTAATACTTAGAAGATATTCATGATTTTAAAAATTCCAGCAACATGTTTAACGTGATTTACAAAAATGAATCTATTGAAGAGGGAGAAAACCAAGTTTATAGAGTTAAAGTGAACTTTTTGTAAGGTGTAAGATCATTAAAAGGCTCCTTACTAGAGTGAAGAAAAGGCAGGATGGAAGCCCCTTGTACATTATTTGAATTTTTTTCCTTTCAGTTCAAAGATGTCCTTTATAAATACAGAAAGCAAACAGGGGTTGACAATAGCTCCAGGAGAGTTCATTCATCCGCCAGTTATTTTCAAACACCAAGTGCAGTCTGGGTGACAGCAAGCAGTTGTGGTAAGGTCAGCAAAACTGGGGGGACGGGTAAATCACAGTCAGAGTACCATCCTTTGAGGGGTAGTATTTATTGGAGGATTCTGCTTAGTTCACCACAGCAGGAAGCACATGTGGTGCTCTCAGCAAACTGAGATTGGGGCCTGACCCCACTGTGTGGGGTGCAATGCAGGTGTTCTGGTGAAGGAAAGCTCAGCCAGGCCTAGCCAGCCATATGCCACATTCATGTGGAGGTACCCATATCAGACCAGGCAGGGGGAGGGAGGAGGCTAAGCTTGATTTGGAAGCTTAGGAAGCCAAGGGCTCAGAGTCAGGTACAGATGGAGGGAGGGCACTACCACGAGTGATTAATCTTCTACCACCAGACTTTTGCCATTTTATTTAACAAACACTTAAAGCAATTATATGCCAGATGCTGTTCAAAAGACTTTACAAATAGCAACTCATTTAACCCCCACAGCCTATGGGGTAAGTACTATTACTGAATCTGTGTTACAGATGAGCAAATTGAGACACACAGAGCTTAAGTAGCATGCCCAATGCTGGTTACCCACTCTATGGCCAAACCACTTTAAAAGGAACCTCCCTGTATCCATTTTCCATGAGGCAGCTACACTAGTTTAATAATGCAAATATGACTCAGCTTAAGGTCATTTATGGCTCCTAGTTATTCTTATATGAAGACCAAACTAGTTCTCAAAGCTATGAAATCTAAACTCGCCAGTCTGCAGCCCCTTCCTGGGACTGACTTTCCCTTACTAGTTTGGGGTCCATTAGGGCCATAGGTTCTTCAGCTCTTCAGTACTTTAGTGTATTCTAGTCCCTCTGCAGGGAGGGCTCTTTTAGCCCCTTTATCTCCTTAACTGTTGATTTTTGAGGTAATTCTAACAATTATGACAACTAAAATTTATTCAGTGACTACTATAATGTGAAGTACTATTGTTAAGTTCTCTCACTATGGCATCTCAGTTTTCAATAAACTTCAATTAAGTAAAGTTTCAATTAAGCTACTTATAAAAAGATGGCTGTTATCATTATAATTTACATGATTGACCCTTAACCCTTTTCCCTTTTGCCCAGAGAATACTTGCTGGTGGCACTTGCAGCTACAGGGTTTACCCTGAGATAATACACGGATTACAGTCCTAAACTTGCCCCCCAAGTTTGCCATGAAATATCTTGCTTTTATTATTATTTTTGCATTAATCTATTTATCAATAGTCTTTAGAAACAAATGAAAGCATTTATTTATAGCATTCTGTTTTTAGTGGTGGTATTTCCATTTACAAAGTATAGTAATTCTTAATCGCTGAAAATGTTAAATCCTAGGAAACATAGTATTCCTACACATGATGTTAAAAGAATGCTGTACTTTTTTTTTTTTTCTAAATAGGAAAAGGTTTAACAAATTAAAAGCACAAGGTACTCCAGACCCAGTGGGATAAAAAGTAATATAGTGTATGTGCAATAGAAGGAAACCAGTTTCAAGGCCGTAACAGGTAAGGGTCAGTTAAGATTGCAGGTCTTAAGGAAAATTATGCCAAGGCTTTCCCCTGTGACCCAGTGCCTCCCAGAAGTACTCACATCCTGGGCCTTGGACCAGTGTGTGGAGGGTGGCTTCCCAAAACTACATGAGTTACTTTGGTAGCCAAGCCAATGAAAGTTATAAAAAAAAAATCTAGAACATTCAATAGATTCACAAAGTGCAATAAGGGATTGTAAATAATTCCTGAGTAATGTTTGAAATAGCTATAAACAGTTCCCTAGATAGTATTTACAATGCCTGCATTAGATAAGCTGACTGTAAAATGGTCTTGAAAACATGAAAATAACTTAATTGGCAGACCTATCCTGGCCTAAATTGCTAAAATGATATTGTTAGAAACTGATTGTTTAAACATCAAATATTATAAAGATTAGTTCCCTACCCAACCTTGCACCCTGTTTTTAAAAAACAAACAAACAAACAAAAGATAAACGCTATATCATAATATTCAAGTGTTGGCAAGGATGTGGTGAGAGGGGCACTCCATTACTGCTGGAAGCTCAAATTTGTAAAGCCCTTCTGGAAAGTCTACTTGATGATATGTAGCCAAAACATTAAAATTCATACCCTTTTACTCAGTAATTTAATTTCCAAGACTATATCCTAAGGAAAGATTTAGGTTCATAGCAGCATTACTTATAACAGTGAAAACCTAGAAGCAACCAAACTACCCAAAAGCATTGGATTGATTGAATTCATCATGATGTAATTGACAGTGTGAATCATGTTTTGTAAAAAGATATTAATGACAAAATAAAAGTAATGTAACATTAATTTGAAACATAAGGTGTAAAACTATGTTCTATGCGATTTTAATTT